AGGGTTTAAGTCTTCGCTCAGTGCCACCAAACGTTGAGCAACAAGAATGAACTTTGTGGTAGAACATGGACAGATATAGAGCCACATCGTTTGTCTTTTGTGCATGCCGAGAGTAATGGAGCGCGGCCCTTATTAGGAGGTCTCGTAACTTTTGCCTCGCTCCACCCAGTCACCAAAACGGGAACGAATCTCTCGTAGAACACGGAAAGATGCAGAGGCATAATTATTGACTTTACGGGAACGAATCTCTCGTAGAACACGGAAAGATGCAGAGGCATAATGTTTTTTTGACTTTTGTGCATGCGGTGAGCGGTTGAGCGAGGCCCTTTGTAGCAGACTGTCGGCCCCACGCGACCTAACGGTAGCTCCCTTGGCGACCTACTTTCGCGACTTCCGCGACCTCCGCGACCTCCGCGACACTCCGCGACCTAACCTTCAGTGAGTCGGTGCAACGTGGATTGGTGCTACTCGCTCTCTCCCTCTCTCCCTCTCTCCCTGCCGTGAATCGTGACGCAAGCTACGTGTTCCGTGTGTCGGTGTTGGCGACGGAAATTGGGGGCCTGCCTTCGCCCCTGTCTGCGTCTCTCTCGCTTCTCTGTGCTACGGGCTTTTGTGAACTTATGTGCTTCGTGGATGTGTTGTGCTAACAGTGCACGTGGGACGTGGTACGTCCTATGTGCATTGATGCTGGCGACGTAAATCTGGTGCTACGTGCTTCGAGAGCTTGGTGCTACGTGAATTGTCTTACGTGCGACGTGAACGTTGCCATGGGTCACTGCAGCGTGAGCTTGAGCCACTGTCTACTTCTGTGGAACTTGGGCGGCTGGGCTAAGTCGTGGCCGATGGCTTGCGCGTCGTTGGTTGATCGTTGTGGGATGGAGGCTTCGTCGGCATGACTGACTAAGGTCAGTCTGCGCATCTCGGACCTCCTCCCTCCGATCTCCCCTTTTTCCCTCGGCCTGATCTCCGCCTGACCCCCTTCTCTCCGCCCTCCGCCCGCCCTCTCTCCCTCCTCCCTCCCTCGTCCTTTCTCCGCTCGAACGCCGCCTGACCTCCTTCCTCCCCCCGTCCTCCCTCGTGTCTCCCTGCTTCCTTCCTCGGGCATTCCTCCTCCCTCAGCCCTCCATCCTCCCTCCTTCCTCTCGCCCTCCTTCCTCCATTGTCACTTCCTCCTCCCTCCCTCCTCCCTCCCTCCTTTGTCCCCTCTTCGCGCCCGACCTAGAGAGTGCATTTCGTCTCTCTTCTTATCGCAATCGACGTTAACGCCTTATTTCGTTTTTCGATCTCTCACACACACACACACACACACACACACACACACACACACACACACACACACAGAGCGAGAGAGAGAGAGAGAGAGAGAGAGAGAGAGAGAGAGAG